GAAGTTTCATGGTGATATCTATGAGTTCATGTTGTGACTCTATTCACGTGAAGAGTCTTCTTAATGTGAGTGATGAAGTGGTGAAGTTTCATGGTGATATTCATGAGTTCATGTGACCCTATTCACCTGTAGAGTCTTCTTAATGCGAGCGATGAAGTGGTGAAGTTTCATGGTGATATCTATGAGTTCATGTTGTGACTCTATTCACCTGTAGAGTCTTCTTAATGTGAGTGATGAAGTGGTGAAGTTTCATGGTGATATCTATGAGTTCATGTTGTGACTCTATTCACCTGTAGAGTCTTCTTAATGTGAGTGATGAAGTGGTGAAGTTTCATGGTGATATCTATGAGGTCATGTTGTGACCCTATTCACCTGTAGAGTCTTCTTAATGTGAGTGATGAAGTGGTGAAGTTTCATGGTGATATCTATGAGTTCATGTTGTGACTCTATTCACCTGTAGAGTCTTCTTAATGTGAGTGATGAAGTGGTGAAGTTTCATGGTGATATCTATGAGTTCATGTTGTGACTCTATTCACCTGTAGAGTCTTCTTAATGTGAGTGATGAAGTGGTGAAGTTTCATGGTGATATCTATGAGGTCATGTTGTGACCCTATTCACCTGTAGAGTCTTCTTAATGTGAGTGATGAAGTGGTGAAGTCTCATGGTGATATCTATGAGTTCATGTGTTCACCTGTAGAGTCTCTAAATGTCTGTAATGGAACTAAACGTCTCTTTAAAGGACGTTTCCTCTAAATGAGATTGTTCTCAGACTCTGATGATAAATCTCCACTTCAGCAGCTCTTACATTCACCAAACTTCACTCGTTCATTCCTCTCTGTGTGCTGAAGGTTCACACAGAGGGGTTAGTTCACATTGAGCTTTCTGTTTTTGTTATCATCGCTCTTTTGCTGCTTTGTCTGTCAAAGCACTTAGTAAACTATATAAATAAAGTTATATATAGATACAGTATATACTATTCATAGCTCGAATTATACAACATTTTATGAATAAAAACATGGTGAAAATGACAGTATTCTCTGATTTACAGTCAAACAAAGAGATATCCTAAATTCCCTCAGTAAAACCCTTTGACTCTAACATGTCAACAAAACAAAACAGAAATATCAAACGTGGCTCTTCTACAATGTTCAGATTTGTTCTGGAAATGTATGGAAATTGGCACATATTTAATCACATAATGACTCACGTTGAAACTGTTAAGATTATTAAACCTCACCAGAGAAAGCTCATAAAAACTAACATTGACACAACCTGAGATGTCTGTTGTTGAGCGGCGAGGAGTCTTCAACGCTGTATTCTCATCATTAAAGACACGTAAATGAAAACTAATGTTTTGGACATCAATCTTAGGAGGTGATGGCATCCACCAATTACCAACTGGAAAAAAAATGTCTGTAATAAAAACACAGATGGAGTCTATCAGATAATGTAAGTGGTGTAATGTGGTGATGTGAAGCAGCTGTATGGTTGGATGTGGGGCAGTGCCACAGCGCCCTCTGCAGGACAGAACGCAATAACAGCTGAATGATGCTTCCATGAGGATTTACATGGTCCATGAGGGTTTCAAATGATACCCGATGAAGGCATTTAATGGGTGGATCTGCAGGCATCTGTGGTCTTTTCTCCGCAGTAAAAGCTTGGAGGTATTAAGTCTTCGCTCTGCTCTCCTGCAGGTACCTGAAGCCCGACGAGAACAAAAAGTCAAAGCACAAGACTGCTGTGAAAAAGAAGACGCTCAATCCAGAGTTCAACGAGGTAGGAATCCACCGCTTTGGCGCTAAAACCTTGAAGCTCCAATTTTAGTTTACCTTTTTTCTTGTTATATATTTTTTTTTTTTCAAAATGTTTATCCGATGCTTTCATGTGCTGAGCAACCTCCATAACCACAGAAGCCATTGTGAGAGTCAGATGAGGCTGTCAAATTGAAAAAACAGCCGTATTTTTCTTTCATCGCTTTGTGAGAGCAGCAGAAGTGAGGGCGTTTGTGGATGTAGGTAGAACATGCATGTAGCTCAGGTGTCTCTTATCAGCATTGATACTTTAACCTTTCATCTTCCATCATCTACTAGTGAGACGCTGACGCAACGGCCTTGTGAACATTTTCATAAAAGCGCCAGAAAAGAAAACTTGATACGGGACGTCTTCTATTCATCATTTGAATCAGAATCTGATGAGTTTTCTGTTAAACTCTTACTGAATGATACCTGAACTTTTACTCTGCTGCTTATTTAGTCATGAATATTTAATCTTATAGAGATTTTAAAAAAAAACAAAAAAAAAATTTAAAAAAAACGTAGTGTCGGTCATCGTAGCTAATCCATCAGAAAACTGAGCAGTTCCTCTCAGCTCTATGGAGCGTTATTTCACATAGACCGTACATAAGTCATGGACGTTACCATATTTCTGGTAGTGACCTGTCAATCACGGTGTAGCCCCGCCCTAAAGCATCCCTTGCTTTATGGTCTGTGTGACTCTAAATGGACCATAATGTACTAAATGAACATCATGCTGTATTGAAGAAGACTTGAAACTAGAGATTGAGACCATAAACTCATGTTTACAATGTTTACTGAGGTAATAAATCAAGAGAGAAGTAGAGTCATTTTCTCATAGACTTCTATACAACCAGAGGAGTCGCCCCCTGGTGGTCACTAGAGAGAATGCAGCTTTAAGACGGAGGTTGCTCCTTGGTTTCTCAGCTTTTTTCAGCTCATTATTGGCATTTTCACGGCATTAAATTAATTTTAGGTCACGCTCCTCGGCCCAGTAAAATTTAGACAGTGCAGGTAGTGTGGATGTACTGGGGCTCGTTGGGGGGGGAGGGCTCGTCGACCAGTAATCAGACCTTATTTTCATCAGTCAACTCTTTTGTAACCAAAGTGACTGAATGTAAATATTGTTGACATCTGAAATGAACTCCCTGAGGACCCAGACATGTTCTGGAGGTCCTTGAGAGTGTCGTGCCACAGGGCAGCTCGTCTCTGAAGGACCCACCCGTACACGAGCGGACGGCCACGGCCAAATGCTGATGCGGGCCAGCGGCTTGACATTTACCTCTGACATTATTTGCGTCCATATCCCTCCATCACCTCTTGGCCTTTCTGTCAGAGACGAGCAACGGTATCGAGGTATTGATTTCCACTAAGCAGCGGCCCTGATTGAACTACAGATATAAATGCTGAATGAATTCCCTTCCTTCACACGGTGCAAACTGATATCAGAAAACGCTTGTTTGGCTTCATTGACGGGGGACTTCATTGATTATGCTCCTGTTACAGATGAGTAACATGATACAGATACTTCATTTTACAATTTTAAGAATACAGATCATCTTTGTGCCACCAACAACAGTCCAGTATTTTACAGAAATACTTTAATAACATAACTTTCCTGTGTGTTGTTTTTACATGTTTGGAGGAGGTTACTCGTGCATGTTGCTGTATTTTTGTATCTACGTTTCATTCAGGTCATTCTCTCACATGGTTGATGGTGAAGTGTGCAACTGGGTGCTCAGTTCTGATGTCTCATTGGCTTCCATAGTCATGTGATGCTTGCCAGCTCAGGGCTGTTTTGGCACAAACATTATGTAAAAGTGGTAAAAAACGTTTGGAAGCGATGCATTTTTTTGTAATTTTATTTGATATTTTTTTAGGGAATCAATACCACGAGTACAGTATTGATCTGCCCATCACTAACTGCCATTTTCACATTTTACATTTAATTTCCCTGTGCTCTAATCAAGACACTTGTAGTATATTGAATGAGTCTACGACGGTGAATGATTCCCCGAGAGTGAGAAAAAGCAACAACTTCCGACATTAAACTGAATATTATTTCAAAACAAAACCAATTCAAGCTCAATGAGGCAATCAGAAGTATGTGAATCACTTTCACCAGAAGATGAAAGATGTAGATTGCATTCAGGTCTGTAATAATACAACAAACCCAACACGACACAGAAGAGTTCTGTTGTGAAGGTTGCAAAGCAGATCGGATTCTTATCGAATGTCCAAGACTTTTAAACTCACATTTTAGGCTTCGTACTTTGTGATGATCTGAAAATATGTAATTATATGTGATCGCACTGGAGAGAGGAGCTCTTATTCTTCTGCTGTTTTTCTGTAGGAGTTCTGTTACGACATCAAATATGCAGACCTCACCAAAAAGACCTTGGAGGTGACCGTGTGGGACTACGACATTGGGAAGTCCAACGATTTCATAGGTAAGCACGGGCGAACCGCGCCAGCTCTGCTTTCATCGGAGATAACGATGAGCTGAAACAGCTCGATAGATATTCCTCAGCATCAGCAGCACCACTGGCTGTCTGGACTATATTTGGACTGTGGAGGAGTGACTTAGAGATGCCGTATACAGATGTGTTAGCTACCTGTCAATCACAGTAAGCCCGCCCTAAAGCATACCCTGCTTTATTCATTTATTTATTACTGAATGAACATCATGCTGTATTGAAGAAGACTTGAAACTAGAGATTGAGACCATAAACTCATGTTTACAATGTTTACTGAGGTAATAAATCAAGAGAGGAGTCATTTTCTCACAGACTTCTATACAACCAGAGGAGTCGCCCCCTGGTGGACACTAGAGAGAATGCAGCTTTAAGACACTTCAGGATTGGCTTCACTTTTTAGAATGGGAGGTTGTCGCTTGTGTTGGACAGAAGCATGCACCCAATGCATCCTGGTACATGCCAACACGTCTCCAATTAGCAGGAGAAATCAGCTTTCTGGGTCAATATAGCAGCACTGAGGAGGTCATTGCTTCAGTTGACTACAGTTATCAACACTGATCGGACATCCACATAAAAGGGGGTGAACTTTCTCTTTAACAATCAATTAACGTCGCAGTAAGGACACATTTCATGCTCTCATCCCTCAGTGACCTTGTCTGTATATCAAATTAAAATAGCACTGTTTTATTCATTCAGCTTCACAGGAACCAGACTTCCAGCACTAAGCAGCAGTAAAACTGTTGACTTATTGTCTATATCTCTTTATTTTAAACAAACACTTAAAAGCATGTTTCACTGCAAGTGCTTAGAGATGTTTGTTAAACACTTATTCACACATTTATTCAAAAACAAACCGACACCAGCCATAATACCATGAAATGGACTTGGTAATATTTCACTGTGCCAACTAGAGATCTGTTTAAAGTTAAACCAAGATGGATGCCCTCGGTCGGCAACACAGCAGACATCATCAGAACAGCCACTGAAAGGACCTGGAGGGGAGCTCGTCCGGTCTACTTTAGTGAATGATGTATTAACCATTAATAAATCCCTAGTTATAAAGAGTGTGTCTCATTACAGATAACATATTTAAAGCTTTGTTCCGTTACTATAATGCTGCTTTTACCTTTTCACGTTCTAATAATGTGAGAAATTGATGTAAATCTTCGCTGAGAACTCGGCGTACAACTGATTCTCTCCTTGTGCCTTCTTTCAGGTGGAGTATCTCTGGGTATCAATGCAAACGGAGAGAGGCTCAAACACTGGTTTGACTGCCTTAAAAACAAGGACAAGAAAATTGAGCGCTGGCACACGTTGACCAATGAATTACCTGGTTCATTAAATGACTGAAGACTCCCATCCTGTCCCCTCCCCCACCACCACCACCACCACCACCACCACCACCAGATAGGACTTCCTGCCTTCATTTTCCTCACCCGTCTTCTTCTCTGGATTCTCCTCGACCTGCGACACCTCTTTGGGAATATATTTCCCCTCAACAGGGCTCGGTTAAAAAATATCCTTACGTTTGTGTTCTTATGTACAATAGAGGTTGCACGGCTACTCATTTCTTTTCAACAGAAATTCAATGAACAAAATGAATCACGGGGATTGCAGTGTCGAATTTGTAAGCTTCGTAATTCTAAATTTGATCAGTGAAGAAAAAAAAGGAGCAAATGCTTTCTATTCGATGAGATCTTTTAACAGCAGCTAAGTGATTTACCAATGATTCACCGGCCCCTGAAACAGCACAAACAAAGAGTGGAGAATCCAACAAAGGATGTAGCAACATTTTATACTGTTGGGAGTATGCAGAACTGTTTAGTGGAGTGGTTCTCATTTCGAAGATGTTGCACTTTAATACGATTGTCAAGCTGTTGGGTAGCGAAGGTCCCGTCGTCGTTCACCCCCATGTAAGTTCTGTAAGCTCTGACCAATGGGCCGACTACAAGCAGTTTGTTCTAGAGATATGGAGCATTTATTTTTTAGTTTGACTCATTTGCCTGGTGACGACAAGGTCCTAACCTCAAGGTAATTCCTCAGTATACTTCAAACTAATGTGATCGTGCAACGTGCTGTCCGACAGACAACGCCCTCCAGGAAAACCAACTCAAGTTTCAGTAAATGTCCACATACTACATGTTATGTTCGGCTGCGGTTATTACAGTAAGACGCTTGTCCATTGAGAGCAAAGAAAGTAGTAAAGACTTTAGGGAAGTCCACAGAGGGAGATGGTCAGGGTGGTCGGATGGGTCAAAAGATTAGACTTCGACCTTTTCTACCAACTATTAACGTTATTTAATTCAACCATGATCATTCCATAACTGTTGTGCCTAAACCAAGCCAAACCTTAACCATAGCGACATCGCATTTCTACCCATTCTGAATGTCCACAGTTGGAGGAAAGCATGCAGTCATATCTTCCTCCTGGCTTCATCCCACTGCCTCCGCCAATTCATCTCCAACAACTCTTGTCTTTTGTCTTTGTCGCCTCAATGCAATGAATCATTCAAGTGGGGAAACACTTTCAAACTGTCTCTCCTGGTGGGGTTCTACATGGTATTACAATCAAAATGTTTAAAAAAAATTAAAAAAAAGTACAGCAAGGAGAGCTTGAGAGAGAAGTTTAAATGCTGCCTCTGGCTTTCAGAGCCGCGTTAGAAAACATCCAATGAGCTGCTGGTGGGGGAAGGGATTGGTGGTGAGACGATGAATTAAAGGTTTACTTCCGCGACATAGATCCATGAATTTAAAGGCGTATTACACGGACACACTGCACGGCGGCAGCGTCACAGGCATTCACAAGACAATCGTGAGGCAAACAGATGAAATACGGCTTGAACCATAGACTGTATGTAAGAAATGGACGTAGTCGTTGTGAGTTTGAGAACTGCGGTTTTAAAAGCCTAGAGTTCTGCATTTTGACTGTGGCCATCTTGGAATTTCAGCCAATGAACGCAAGTGAATATATTTGGACTGAGGAGTAGTGACGTAGAGACGCCGTATACATCTCTGATAGCGACCTGTCAATCACTGTGTAGCCCCGCCCTAAAGCATCCCCTGCTTTATGATCTGTTTGACTCTAAATGGACCATAATGTACTAAATGAACATCATGCTGTATTGAAGAAGACTTGAAACTAGAGATTGAGACCATAAACTCATGTTTACAATGTTTACTGAGGTAATAAATCAAGAGAGAAGTAGAGTCATTTTCTCATAGACTTCTATACAACCAGAGGAGTCGCCCCCTGATGGTCATTAGAGAGAATGCAGGTTTAAGGTACTCACTTTTCCGAACCGGTGGTTGCCGCCTGGGTCTTTTTTTGTTGGACAACAATTTTTTGGCAACATGACACTGCCTCAACGGCATGGCCTCCCTTGCTGTTGTCTGTCTGAACGCGGCCTATAGTGGGTATTGTTGTTTGGGGGTCTCAGCCAGACACTGTAACACCATCAGCACCTTGTTTGAAGTATACTGAGGCCTCAGAAAATCAACTTTGCCTCCCCAAGCCTACTTACAGCAAGTATATGTAGGTGTCTTAGCGCCACCTACTTGGATTACTCACTGATTTTTCAGTGCAACCTCTGATCTATAGAGCTGCCTGGTAGTGTGGTAATCCTGATGTCAAGGCTCCACAAGTGGTTCGTCCATTCAGTCATCCCACCCGTACCTCAAAATAGCAGGTTTCTTATTTACAGTGCTAAAGCGACAGGTGTCTAAATAAGATGCATTTAGAAATTCAAGTAAAATTGGAGATCAGGCCACACTGCTGTTTTCGGCTCGGGAATGCTCTATAGACCCTTTTACAGCTTGTAAACAGTGTTTGTACATAGTTTGACAATGGAGGTACGCTGGAGTGTAACAGCTTGTCAAGCTATGCAAGGTGATTAACCACCAAAGATGGAGAATGCAACATAAACAAATGGACTTTTCAGATCCGTGTGCTATCAGTGAGTGAGTAGAAGACATTGGTGGTCAGATATAAAGATGTATTTGAATGAGAAACCTAGCGTGTAATGTCACCAGATGACAACTCTGTTATCTGTGTTCATGTACAGAACGTCAAACACCATGACAGAGACTCAGAGGTTTAAAATGGCCGCTACAAACAGTCCCGTGGTAGTCGACACGTTTAACAGCTTGCAGCTATAGACGTTGTCAGTGTTTCAGTTTAACTAGTGACCGTGTTAGCTGGTGACTCTCAGATGAAAGCGTCGCGGATGTACGTAGTGACGGCAGCTGTTGATAACACCAACAGAACATGTCGGAGTCCTCGTTAACTCGTAAATCAGTTTTAAATACAGACTCATCTGTGTTTATTATTATTACTACGAGCAACCACGGTCACTAGTTAAACTGAAACACCTTTCGTTCTGAAACGCTCGTGATCCTGTCTGAATTCTATAGAACTGTTGGAATATTGATTCTGACAACTGAACATGCAAAAACCAGAAATGTTGATGCTGGTACCAGTTTTAATTCTGTTTAATCATATTAACTCGTCTCGTTGACGAGCAAAACAACACTTCTGCTGCCAACATGCACACGCATATTTTAGACGACGTCGGTGGTCAAAGGGTCAAGAACAGCGGTTCAGACTTTAGGTTCAAGATGTGTCGATAAGTGCAATAAGAGCATAATCGTGTAATAGCTGCACCGAATCTGTGATTAGTCAGGTAATGAATTTAAAAGTAGATTTCATATGCACCTGGTGATTCAGGTGATTTGTGATTTTGAATTTCAGCACCGAGGTGGAAACATTGAAGGTCACACAGCCTCACTTCTGTGTGGAAGGTAGAGAGCCTACTCGACAGAGAGCCGCTGTAATCAACAACAAAGTGAAGTTCAGCGGCTGAAAGAAAGAAATAATCACTTGTCGAACCACAACAACACCACTAGATTGGGCAGCTCTATGGTGTGTGTGTGTGTGTGTGTGTGTGTGCAGCTTATCGTTTACACTACTGTAATATGAGTTTCCACAACAACAACAACAACAACAAAACTCGCTGGCAGCATCTTCACCTGTAATGCGGCTGAAAATGTACCCGCTGTTTGTCAAAAGGGCAGAATTTCAACAACGGAAAGTTTACGTCAAATATTACAAAAAAAACTACAATAATAATATCAAAAGCATGTATTGTTTACAACAGCCTATTGTTGCTGAAGTTTTGCTGCTGAGGGGGCGAACACGCCCTTTGCTAAAGTCACTGCGATTGTTCAGTCATGCGATGCAAGCGTCGCTGAGACGGGCGAGAATTTTTAATATACTAGCCGTGTATGTATATTGTTACTATGATGTTTTTTTTGTTTTTCTAATGTAAGCAGCTCCACTATAAATGTATCAAACAGAATGTAAATGTTTAACCCCTTCTATTCAGTAAATCCTCTGAGAATGTGCAGCTTAGTTCTCCGTGTCGATATCGTTCACATGTCAAATCTCCAGCTCTGTATCTGAGCACACGCATATCTGGGATAGAGACGGTTGAACGCCCGGGAGCGAACGACCAGCTTTACTAAAGTCAGACACGAAGATAACAATTGTTTTACTTTAAGTCCTTCTAGCCTGTTAAATTATTCATGTTTTTCTCTTTCTGTTAATATTTTATGTTGAAGTTTGGTACCCTTAGTGCAGCCCTGGAAACTCACCAGGACTGAAAAACTCTCAACTTGCGTTGCCCTCATGGACCAGTAGGCTGGGATGCATGCCATGTACTTGTGATTTTATGAGTTTGATGACCTTTTTTTTCTGCATGCCCCCACGCACCCGCCTTCCTTGTAAAGTCCCACCGTGCACTGACTGGTAACAAGGAACACGGCCTACAAAACAGAACAGTCCTCGCGTATCGTTCAGGATTCCCGTCAGGCTTGCAATCCAGCTAACAGCTTTTTGTCATCACCTCGCGTCACTTTAAGTGAACGGCCGGCCACGTTTGTTTTTAGGGAGCATGTAGATTGCCGTCAGTGTGACCGCTCTTATAATCACATTGTTTCAACTCACTAATTTCAGCTGGTGGATAGTGACGAACAGCCCTAATGTCCATCTCTTATACTATTTGACCCTCTTAACCCCTTGTTCTATTGTTGACACCATTACAATGCTTTCACACTACATTCTGCTCATCCTGGAGAAAATTTGATTTAGACAAACGTCATCGCACCTTCAGCACTGAGGAATGAAATGTTTAATGCATCACATGGGCCCTTGCTCCTCCGTTTCTTTAAAGCTTTCACAGCGTCTTCAGCCACATTGATTTGTGATGCACAAACCGGCTCTGAAACCTTGTTGGCATCTCAATATAATCCTTGACACACCGGTGATCCCCCTCTCTCTCTCTCTCTCCCTCTCTCTCTCTCTCCCCGATGAATATGTAATGAATACAACCGACGTGTGATTTTCATTTTGTAATCTGTCTGCCTTTGTATGCAAGCTCAATATTATGAAAAAAAATGTAAAAAATGAAACTGCATGCGTATGTTCTTGGTTTTGTCATGACATGACTTTGCCTAATGTTTGATACTGTTTTCTGTATTAAAAAAAACTAAATACACGACTGTGGATGCTCTAAGATTACGCTATAAGTCAGTCTTTCTTCTGGACAACATTTTGTACCTTTGAACACTATCGCATTGCCTGTTTGGCTGCTGTATTGACTGTCTGGAAGCGTGACTTGATGTGAATTAAAATCTCTCCTTTGTTGTTTTGTTTCCTGTGTGACACTCACATTGTCCATCATTATATTTCAGTCCCACGCCAAATGAACAAGTTTTCTTTCCTCATTTTTATTTCTGTCATTTTGTTGAACACTCCAAAGAATAACTTTGAAAATGACTCGATGATATCTTAATGAATAGTTGTATTTTAGCAGCGTTTGTGCTATAAAGCATAATGCAGTGGACAAACAAATGTGCATATTCCCACAATGTCACACAATCAATGCAACATTTGAAATCAACATGACTGATGAGTAATCCAGTGATTTGTTATTGCACTACCAGCAACATGGCAGCTGTTTTCAGCAAAAACAACAACAACTAAATGTCCTGCTCAGCACCAAACAGACAAATTTAGAGTTTACTAGTAAACATAATGGAGCACTTAACAGCTACAGAGCCAGACATTTCCCTCAGGAACGAGTTCAGAGCAGAACGGAGCTAAAAGGAAAGTGAATATTGGACTTAAATTCATCAGGCGGCCAGGGGAACAATCCAGATGATTGATAAAGTTGCTCTGTGTGTATACAGGCAATTAGCTTTTAGCCATTCGCCGTGAGTCTCGGAGTTTCTTCCCCCCTGGTGGCCAAGAAATCCATGAAAAACAATTACCTTGTTAATTTACTTACTTATTGATTATCACGATCACGCTTGGTTTTTTATAGTGATGAGGACAGGCTTTGGAGGGAGGAAAACAGAAGCACTGTAAAGAGACACGTTTCATCATTTCATTGAGTTCCAAAGATCCAAGGCCCGACAGAAAATGCTCATTTATAACATCTCTGCAATTAATTGCAAGATGAGACATCTGTGAAGAACATAATATTATAGAATCATTCTTGGCCCATTTGAAGGATATCTCTTAGGGATGGA